TGTCTATTTTTAAACATCCCTCCACTCCCCCGGGACTGCAGAGCAGTTGGGGGTGTGGGGACGCTGCTCACAGAAAACTCCCAAGCAAAGCTGAATTCCAGTTCAAAGTCCTGAAAGCGCATGGAGCGACCCAGGGAAATGCAAGCCATGCATAGGACCCTGGGCATCCTGTGCTCACTGGGGTACGTGAGCAAACAAACGTTCCACCCCACAAACACGTACCATGCAAACACAACTCCCCTGTCACACACACTTCCACCCCACAAACACACAACTCCCCTATCACACACAAAAAGAACAGGAGTATGCATCCGAAGAAGTGGGCTGTAGTCCACGAAAGCTTATGCTCTAATAAATTTGTTAGTCTCTAAGGTGCCACAAGTACTCCTGTTCTTTGTGCAGATACAGACTAACACGGCTGCTACTCTGAAACCTATCACACACACACACACACACTTGCACCCCACAAACACAAACACACAGCTCTCCTATCACACACACTTACGCCCCACAAACATACCATGCAAACACACAACTCCCTATCTCGCTCCCATATACACACGCACCCCTCCTCCGCATACGCTCGTGCCACACAAACCCACATTTTCCCACTTATGAACACAAACCATACCACCATCCCATATGGACACAAACACAACCCCCACCACCACACACACACACACACACACACACAGATACATAAACACACAACCCTCCCAAAATACCACACAAATAGCCCACATATAGAGTGGCACCAAAGTACATCCCTCATTCATGGACACACAACCTGCCTTGATTAATAGTGTCATTATTGGGGTGGTGCCTAGAGGGCCCATTGAGCTATTGCCCACACACAATGGAAAGTTGATCTCAGCCCCAAAGAGCTTGTGTAACACCAACAGACCCCGGGCATCGGCGGACGGGATTGAACCTGGGATCTCTGGAGCTAAATGCATGAGCCTCTACTGCATGAGCTAAAAGCCACTTGGCTCTTAGCTAAGGCTGTGGCAGACTCATTAATCTCTAAGTGGTCTCAGTGCCACTAGAGGGGACAGAGCACCATACCCAGGAGGTGTGTGGGTTACACTTACAATTAGGAAACAGCAGGTGGATATAGGGTGACCAGACATCCCGATAAAATTGGGACCGTCCCGATATTTAGGTGTTTGTCCTGCGTCCCGACCGATCTTTGTCCCGATATTTCACTCCGCCGGCAGCGCTCCCCCCAACCCCCCAGCTCCGCCGTGTGTCCCGATATTTGCTTCCTCTCATTGGTCACCCTAGGTGGATACAACAAACAGCCAAGGGCAGCACAAGGTAACAGTGAGGCAATCGGAATGGGTGTTATAAGCAGTGGCCTCCACACACCAGCTGCCTCACCGTTGTCAAAGGTTTTGAGCCCATCACCTGTGGGAGGGGAGCTCTAAGGACAGGTTTAAGGACAATGATCTAGTGGCCGTTCAGATTTTCACGGAGATGGCCTGGAAGATAGCACAAAGGTGTCTGAGGGAAAGTTGGAGGATGGGCATCGTTAGCAGAACGCAGGTGGGGGCCGGCTCGTTAAGCATGCAGCATGATTGCTCAGGAGAGATCCCCTCAGAATGCCACAGACGGGGTTTTAAACCACAACATTTCCTTTTTGTTTTACAGATTTTTCTACTCAAGTCAATTCCACGTCCCTGAACTCTCCGACTGGCCGGGGGCCTATGGCCGCACCTTCCCTCCATCCATCCATGGGGCCGGGCATTGGTTCCTCACTGGGCTCTCCGGGTCAGCTCCATTCGCCCATCAGCACTTTGAGCTCCCCCATCAATGGCATGGGCCCGCCTTTCTCTGTCATCAGCTCCCCCATGGGGCCTCACTCAATGTCCGTCCCTTCAACCCCCAGCCTTGGATTCGGAACCGGCAGCCCACAGGTGAGCGGGGAGGAGAGAGCTGGGGGCTGCGGGGAGGAGGAGAAGGGTTTTATTTACAAACAGTGGGAAATGAAAAGCATCTTATCCACATGGATTATGAAAAAGTAGCGATGAGCCCAAATCAAGGCCCCAGACCGGAACAGCCGGTGAGGCCTTCTGATTCCAGATCCAGTTCTGAACTACACAGATGGGATCCCTCCAGATCCAGACACCTCCAAACATGAGCAAGGTTCCCTGCATGGTGCACCCGGACTCCTGGAATTCTGCGGGGCGGTGGCTCAGTACAATCAGGGATGGGAGCTTGGCTTTACAAACCTTGTGCTTGATTCTCCTCTCGCTTACACTAGCCTCAGCCTGGTGTACCACTGTGGATCCCAGGGGCGTACTCCCGGCTTGCACCTGTGTATGTGAGAAGAGAGTCAGCCTCCGTCATTAGTGAAAGATGTCACCTGAAAGGGACATTGTCAGGCTGTTTGGCTGGGCTGCGATGGGGACAGAGTCACTCGGCCATCTAAAAAAACAGTCCTGGTCAACAGCAAAAATCCACCTGAAAAGCCGAATGACCAGTACAGCCGGTGCCTCTCCTAGGAGCAGGGCTGGGTGCAAGCACATTTGGTACCCTTTGCAAAGCTAGTTGATTGATGTCAGTGGAGCCGTCCCTGCTAGACACGGGTGTCGCTGAGAGCAGAATGGGACAACTGGATTCAAGGGTTTCCATCCCGGGAGGAGCCAGGTACAGAATGGGAGACAGGGCCAGTTGGCGACCTGCCCTGCTCCTGGCATACACTGGAGCAGCCTCGAGGCTGTTTTACCACCTGTGCTCGTGCTGGGGCAGTCCCATCCTGTAGCTGAGAAGAGCCAGAACTATCATACGCCCCCATGCTGGGTATAGGGCCATTCTGGTGGCCCAGGGCCCCCCCCAGGAGACTTTTCTGTATAGCCCCTGTACACTGCTCCCTCTTGTCTCCCAGGCTGAATGTGTTCCCCTTCTCTTCACTGGTGGAGGGAAGTGCTGGGGTTTGCTGACTGAAGATTATGTAAAAATCTCCAGCTATAAAGAGATAAGCCCCTTTTTAAAAATAGCAAGAGCTGGGAGAGCCGCCCCTCGGCCCTGCCACCTGTTGCTGGCTGATTGCCTATTACGTTGAGCAAAAGGGCAGATTAAGGAGTTGGCTACCACCTGCCGCTCGCTGCTGGTTTATTTATTTCACAGCCTCTCTGGGAGTCAAACACCTGCTGGCACCTTTATTTTTATATCAGCCTGATTTATTTTCTAGGGATAACCACTTTCTTTGCTGGGGATGGGTGGGAGCGGCCTCTTGTGCAGGCCTGAGATGGAGCTACAAAGACTGGGCCCCTCTGCCCTCCAGCCCATTCATCACCCTCAGGATTCCATCTTTGTGCCCCAGAGGACAGCGTAGGGGTGTGGGGATAGACAAGAGTCCCTCTTTGGAGCCTGTCCTAAATCAGCCCGAGTCTGCTGGAGTTCGGTCAGCACTGACCGTCCCAATGTGAGAGGCGGTGCCAGAGGGGATGGAAACCTCGTCCATATCCATGTGTTTGGTGCCGGGTGAGTCGGTGCCACTGGTGTAAATAGCTATAAGCCACATGGTGAGAAATTCATCCCTGCCCAGGTGCGGGTCCGTGGACAGAAGGAGAACAGCATGTGTCTGTTCAGGGGCAGTCAAAACGGGCAGCCAAAACGGCTGCTCTGATTTATGGACCCTGTGGGGCTTCATAGGGTTGCGGAATTGCCAGAGCACATGCCACATCCCCTGCCCCTGCTCCGAGTCCTCCTCCACTCTGCCAACCCCAGAACCCACGTCTCCTGGCCCCCAGTCCGGTGCTCTGTCCACTAGGTGAATCCATACATATGCCTATCCCTAGCATGGTGTCAACATTGGGTAGACAGGCTGCCTTCCACCTTAAGGCCGGGAAGGGAGAACTGAAACAACACTTCACAACTCTCTGTGGCACGAAGCCAGGGCAGTGGGAGACACGTAACAATGCGAGTGTGTGAGCAGCGAGCGGGAGAGAGTGAGAGGTTGGGATGGGAAGGGGCGACGTCGCCAGAGTTTCAATGACACGCCGCGGTTATTTTAGGAAGCAGAGATGCACGAGACAGAGGAACTGAAATGAGAAGCCACAGAACAGAAAAGGGGAACTGAGAGCGCATCAGATGGCGCTTAGCAGAGCCCAAGCATTTACAGTGGCTCTAGACCCTGACGGTGTACCAAGCGTGCCTGTCATTTGCTCATGGCCTGTCTTAAATGGTTTTCCTGGAGAAGACAGTTAAGATATTTTCAGTCTAATGGCTTTTGCCATCTGTCCCGTCTGTGAGCATTAGATCCCCGTCATTGTTAGGGGCAGAAGGCCCTACCTGAGCCTGCAGTAAATTGGGAGGGAGGCAGTCCGCATCATCACAGCACGGAGGAGGGCAGGCAGGCAGGAGAGGAACGCGATTTCCCTTTGTTGTCATACCAGTCCGCAAAGCGCCGGGGTTAATGAAGCGTGTCCCCCGCGTTGCAGAGTGGAGATGGCACTGATGGAAGGTGGTTTGAATCAGATGGCAGATGCCACTTGCCATCAGACTACGCCTCGTTAGAGCTGGAAACCTAGCAGAGCAGAAGGACACCAGGAGGATGAGGTGTGCCGGGCGAAGAGCCGCAAAGCCACATGCCTCCCAGCCCCGCTCGCTCTCCTTTGCAAAGTTTGTTTTGTTCTCTCTCCCATGGAACATTCTGTCCCTGATGAACATATGCTGGGTCCATAAGCTTTGTGGATGGGGCTAAAGAAAGGCCAGGGGTTGGGCCAGCAAGGGTCTTCCCCAGACTTTCTGTAGTGCTGGACTGGGCCAGGACAGAATGTTTCAGAAGGAAGGGAAATGGCATTTAGGGCAAACAGGGCTGTAGCTTCCAGCTGCATCCAGAGGCCTCTCTGATTTCTTTGGGGAACTTGAGGAGCTGGTAGCACTTGGCTTAAGAACTAGGCATAGTGCAGGCAGGGGTCATGCTAGTTTCCCATGCAGCACAGCTTTGCCAGTACCCCTCCCTCTCCCCTTTAGCTCCCTCTGCTATTCCTGTCCTGTTGATGCACCTCACTTCTAATCAGCACTTCAGTTTCGGCCGGCTATTCCAGTTCTGGGGCCCCCTGCAAAGCTCTACTGATCTGGCCTGCAACATTCCCTATTGTCCCTCTCGTGAAAGATCCAGAAATAAAAGGGAGTGAGCAAGTCAATCCTGCTGGAGCCCCAAATGCCCTATGTATCACTCCAGTATTCTAGTGGGTAGCAGTGCGATGCCTCATGCTGACTGGAGTCTGTCATCCAGGGATCCCAAACTGCTTTGCAGACATTCCAGCCTCGGAGAGCATCCTCCTCTGAGGTAGGTACCATCACCTCTATTTTAGCAGCGGGCAAACAGAGCACCGAGAGGCCAAGAAGTCTGCCGCAGGCCACGCAGAGCAAGATTTCAGAAGTGTGACTGCGGAGGGCAAGGGGCAAGATTAGTGAAAGGGCTCTCTCTTGCACGCACACGTGTGTGCATATGACATCAAAAGGGCTCAGCATCCAGCCGTTTCCATGGTGACATCCAATGTGTTGAATTCTCTTGAAAATCCGGTCCGATAGTGAGTCCCTGGCAGTGCCAGGAATTGAACCCAGGAGTCCTGATATACAGATCAGGACTTAGCTCTTTTTAAAAAATTTATGGGATTGTCATTTTTTTATTGACAACCCCAGGAATCTCTGAAGAACATATATGAGAAAGAAAGAGAAAGAAAGAAAGAAAGAAAATTACATTTGAGTATATTTCATAATCCCGTCTTCTTCTCACTTCAGTGCCATTCACAGGACCCAGATGCAAAGCTGGAGAAGCAGCAGCAGCCTGTAGGACTGCGGCAGACCCCCCACCCCCCGCCCCCTGCCAGGCATTTCTTGTAGCAGCTCTGCGGATGCCTGGGGGGAACCAGGAGAGCTCAGACACAGAGTCAGGCTGTGGTGACTCTCTCAAAGCTGCCTCATTCCTTCAGACACGATTGATTCTTTTCAAGGACACCTGTGGACTCTGCACAGGCGGTTTTTAGACCTGGCTGCTACCAGGCCCCAACAGAGAGGACCCGGATCCCCAGAGCTTAAAACAAGGTCAACAGTAGAGAGAGGAAGGGAACCCAGGAGTCCTGAGGCGCAGGAACTTGTTCCAATTGCTAGGCACTGCTGCCCACTTCCACTGTGAGCTAACTCAAAGCACTTCCTTGTCATCGGCTCTGCGGCCCTCCATTGTGCTCACTGAGCTGAGTTTGTGCTCACCAAAAGCAGAACTAGGTTCCATATGGTGATGAGGGTGAAGCTTTGGGCCAGACTGGCTGGTTTTCTCACTCCCCCAGCTTCAGGTTTTTGCTCGGCAGCCTTAAACCCAAGAGGAAGGAGCAGTAGGCGCCGGGGCAGAGTGTGGGAACCAAGAGGTGCACGTGTAGCCCGCCTGTGGTTTCGGGCAGCCGCTGAAAGAGGAAACGGAGGTGGTTCCCATTCCCATGTGCTGACTCAGTAGCTAGTCGGGGCTCCTGCTGATTCATGGGGGAACACTCCCTGTATCAGTTTGGGGTCCCAGCCCCTAGGGGATAGGCAAGCGAAGAACCAGGGACTGCTGACCCCAGCCATGTGCCACGGGGGACAATGGTGCTTTCCACTAGATCTGCCCTTGATATCAGCCTTCCCTTCCCTGCATATATTAAGTCCCCTTGCCCTCTGCAGTCACACTGTGCCAGCCCCCCAGAAATGCTCGGTCTGATAGTGCTAGTCTCTCTCACCCATTGAAGTCAGAAGGACCTTTGGTTTCTCCATGGAGTGAGTGATTAGCTCAAAGTAGGGGAACACTGGGATCAACTGGTGACTTCTCCCCTGCTTGTCGAAGGTGCCTGCTGCCCAGCAGTCCAAGTGGGGCCTGCTGTCTGGATTTTCTTCACTGCTCCTGGAGGTCCATAGAGCCAGAAACATCTTTGAT